TGTGATCGGTAACTGCGTCTTCGAAATTGACATGAGTGCTCTCTCGGACAAAGAAAGCGAATTTCGTCGAATGGGCAAAAAAGTGTTTACGCCTACCTATCAACAACTAATCAGAGATATCTGTAGACAATTTGTACCATCTGTCTATGGAATGTTTGGTCACCTTATGCAACAAAAACATGTCTAAGACTTTTTTAGAAACGTGGTCAAAGATACAATAAATTATAGAAAGGAGAATAACATAATTAGACATGATTTCATCGACAGGCTAATAGAACTTAAACAACACTCAGGGAAAATAGAAAATGTTGGTCGAGTACATAGTTTGAAATTGAGCAGTTAATTTCAGGAAAAATGATATTCTTCGTAATCGAAATATTTATTACACAGTTAAATACAGGTTTTGCACTCCAAGTTAACCCTTTTGCGGATCATATTCACCTCGTTGCAAATTAAATTCACCCTACTGGAAATCGAATTCACTCTTTCACAGATCAAATTCACCCTTTTGTAAATCAAATTCACCTTGTGGGTGACTCAAAAGTGAAATAATACAATGTAATAATAATACAGTTTTTCTTTTTTTTTTACATGGGGGAAATCTTGCATAGGCACCCCATTGTGTGGGATTCTTACCCAGTAAAACCTTTATGGTTACCCTCGTCGGGCATGCTGAGAAGGGCTAGAGAATCATTTTCAAATTTCTTTCGGCCACCTCCCGGCCCAACCGAAGGGAGGGGCTCAGACCGGCCCCTCCCTTGTCCTCCTAACACCGGCGGAGTACCGCCCCGTCCAGGGGACCGCGTGCAAGAGCACCTTTATAGGGGGACAGGAGACCTGCGCTACCTCTTTGGTGGCGGCGGCGCCCCCACTATCATAACAGTGGAGGTGGTCCACCCGGTGGGCTGGACTAGCGCCCGCCCCTCCGGCGGCCAGCCTCTATGGGTCGTTCACCTTGCGCACCCTCTCTGCGGCCTCCTTCTGCGAGACAGTTATATTGCAGAAGGAGGCCGCGGTACACCACTGGTCTCTCCCCTCCAGCATTGAGCTCACCAATGCTGAAGGGCGGTCATGCGAGCTAGCACTCGAAAAGTGACTAATTGATACCATGATTCGGTCGTTCTAACAAACCATTGTAATAAAAATAAAATCCGATGTAAAGTTATTATTCTGAAATCAAAATTTTATTGAATGTATGTAATAATACTTAAACAAACAATAACATAAGATGATATAAATATAACATAAAGTACCACTGATCATAATTATTTCTATATTTTGAATAGGCTAAACCTTAAAATCTCTGGATATCCGTAGGATATTTTCTGATATTTTGCTTCTTTTTAAGGTTATTAATGGTACTATTCGCTGTTCTCAGCTGTTGCAATTAATACATTTTTATACACCAATTAGACTGCTTAGACTTGCCTCAGAGATACTCATCAAACTTTTCGAACACGGACCCTATACACCGAATTTGTGAAATTACGAACCAGTACACACGGCATTTAAATTTTTTAAATATTTCTATCCACTCGTTCATAACACATATTGACAGTCTTGCAAGTTTCTCATTTTGAATTTACGTGCGTTAGTATTTCTTGTATTACTTGTAGTGTTTACTTATTCTTGTGTAATCTAATGGGAAATCTTCCTGTAAAAATAAATACATAAATAAATAAATACTTACTTAACGTTAAGAGTACTTATATGCATAAACATATGTAAACTCATCCATAACGGTTTGCCTGCCGCTGCGCGGGATAGTTTTATATACATATTCATATAATAATTATGACAATCTGTAGGAGTGATAGTTGCAACAGAATGATTAATAACATCTACTAAATGTTCATGCTTTGAAGGATCAGTCAAAATGGTGAAACGATGAATGATGAATTTGATTTGCAAAAAGGTGAATATGATCTGCAAAAAGGTTAATTTGGATCGCAAAATTAAGATCGCACGAAAAAACATTTGTTTAAATTAAAAGATTGAAGCACACAAAATAGTTGTAGATAGAAGATTTAACGAGATCATTTGAACGTAATAACGTCAAAGTAAATGATTTAAAATGTAAACAAGAGCATGAGACGTCTTGCATTCAATCTTTTGAGAAGTACCTTTTAAGGATATACTATGTACATAGTTAAAACAAAATTTTATTATATGTATACGTAGCTTACTTCAATTATTGTGCTTCACTAATTAATACACATTTGGTAACTCATTGTTACTTACCAAACCACGTTATTTAATATACTGAATAAATTCTCAACACTAACGAAAATTTTTTACTTGTGATAGCAATTGATAACTTTTTATTATCGAAGCAAAAGGAATATGTATTTTATTATGCACACATCGTTAGTGATTATTAATTTTTGTAATCGAAGTTGATTGCATTTCACAGAAATGACAGACGCGTTACTAACTTCACAAGCATTCGTCTTCTTTGTGGCTGGATTTAAAACATCCTCGTCGGCAATGGCTCACGCTCTTTACGAATCAGCTCAAAATCAAGGAATACAGGATAAGTTACGGGAAGAAATTAGAGAAAGTGTTGAGAAACATGGAAGAATAATAACGTACGAGCAAATCAAGGAAATGAAGTACATGGACAAAGTAATGAAAGGTATATACATAACAATACTGAAGTAAAACTCTGCCATCTGTTAGTATTATTATATCTAATTGGATAGGAACACGCTAAACGTCAACAAATAAGTTCCGCTATTTAAAATCAGAAAATAAACTGATAAAGCAACTTCCCGCGCTTCTTGATGGTTGGAAGGTCGCGTTGGCGTTGGAAATTATTGCACGTGTGTGTGCCAACTACTTATTGTCGTGATGGTAATCGCACTTTATTTGTAATGTCGATTATTGCGGAATGGACTGCACTTGTGGCTTAAAAATATCGAATATTGCGGACTAGCGCGCTCAAGATAGTGTCGAGTGTTTCTACGTAGACCTTTTTCAATCTCTCGAATGTCGTGAATTTGCTGTATATGTATGATTTCGTCAAAATGGGGAGTTAACCTTGTTGGCAAATCACCGGCCTTTCACCCCCTAGAGCCGCCCTCCTAGGCCCTCGTGCACTCCCCCGTGGTCCGCAGAGTGGGGGTGTAGGCGGAGAGGAAGAGGCGGTCCCAAACGGGGGTGTCAGCCCCGCGTGGTGATCTTGCCGAAACGTCGACTTTACGGGTTTATAGCATGTTTACCGTTACTGAACGCGCAGAGGCAAGTACCGGTTCACCATGTGGCCCGCAGAAGTGGAGAATTTCCGCGACCATCAGGTAATAAACCAGATTTGCCCTTTGACTTGAATAGGCTATTGTTATCAAAGAAAACTTAACCACAAAATTATCAGACATTGCAGAAGAACGGGAAAGATTAAAGAGACACCACTTTTTACGGCTACCATATAGATTTAGTGACATAAGCTGAATATGTAATGCCATAGTGATACACCACAGGGTGTACTCACGCCAAAGAGATTCACAATCTGTGCTGAATATCATTTACGATAGTAGCACTTACTCAGATTATAAAAAAAAAGAAAAATTCATAGATTTAAAGCAAAACATCAATCTTTAACACGTTGACTGCCACGCCAGATTTACATGTTTTGCTCAGGGGGCCAGAAGACAATTTTCATTATTCTAAGCATAGTATTATATTATGCTTATTATCCTTTTGTAGGGTGCATGTGCGCTCTGGTACGGGTGCACCTAACACCTATCGCAACCGATCCGCGTTTATTTCCGCATCGCGACCGATCCGCGTTTGTTTGCCCAGGGAATGTATATATGTGATGTGTAAAACAATAAAAGGGTGACGGCTCGGGACGAGGACAGAGTCAGAAGTGACCCTTTGACGGAAGAACACATTATTTTCCCAGACGCCCTATACTTCATTATTATTATTTTTCTTTTTAATTCAAAATAACGTCTAGTTAGCTATGAAGTTCGAAATTTTTAGTTGACGATATTCATTTTATTTTAATTACTCTAAACATTCTGAGTCCTCCGGTCACTGATGACCACCGTAGCCCGGTCATAGGTGAGCAACGTGGCAGTCAAGATGTTAAGGTGCAATTTATTATTTGAAATGTTAGAAAAGTCTAAATGAACGAACGCTCGAGTGGGCCATATGCCTTCTTTTCGCTTCCGCCTCTTAAGGAGAGCTCTGCCTCGTGGGAAGGCTAAGGAAGGCCATATCGCCAAGGGTGTCCTCTTGACGAGGAATTCTGTCGAAGGACATTGTTGTACGAGCCGTCGCTCTGTTGAGTCTAAATACAGTTCTCAGCTCATAACCGCCCACGATTACTTGTTTGATCAATCGATCACCATCTTTACCTATCACTCCCGTGTTCTATTTGCTTACAGAAACCTATATACAGAGTGTCTCAGCTAACTTGATCACCTCGAGGGGCACATTACGTAAGGTATATGTTTGTTCTGTATGGGGAAACGTTTCGGAATTTTGAACTCTACTATATTTGACTTTACTTGTATGTTACAGCCAGTGTATTGTTTTCGGCATCCTAACACGTCAGAAATATGTTCTGACAGCTAATCGATCATTATTATGAAAGATAGTAAAAATGACCATTTTTTATATATGATAAATCAATATTTGGTTCTCAATATCTTAACCATCGATTTTTCATCACTTCAAATTGCAAATTCTATTCAGATTTGATGAAGATTGTACGTATTATACAGTACTCTACTAGATCACTTCAATCTTTTGAATTGATGTTTTGTGAATAATTAATTTTAAATGATCCGTTAGATACACCAAAACTTTCCCATCTAAGAGTTCTGGCAAATATCACTATTATTTCCTTTCCGAATTCTCAGACCCACTTGAACGTATGTGACTTACAATTCGTCAAAAACACGAGGATTAGCTAGTCCGTGGGCCTCAAGGACCTCCGCCATAAATTAAGCCCTTCCCAAATTCCGAACTTTCCAAAACTACCACCTCCACCTT